AGTGGCGCATAAGCCAGCCTTCGGTTTAGAAGATACTGAACAACTTTCTGCAGGGCCCCCTCGCATGGGCTGAGGCTGCTGGGCAGCCCTCACCCATGGCAATGGCGGCATCCCGCCTGCTGGAGGCGCCGAGCTAGGCCGGGCCTACGACGACGTAGCACCAGACGGCTGGGCCGCCGGCGAGGGTCGTCTGCTCGTCCTTGCCTTGGCCGGCGGGCACGCTCCGTCGCCTGATTGCATTTGGCGAAGCGACGCCCTAGCTTGTTCATGCTTCTTGAGCTCGTCTTGATATGGTCTGTTCTGGTCAGCCGCTTTCGCAGCGGCGTGCTCAGCAGCCTGAACGCGTAGCTCATCCTGCCTTCTGGCCTCCTGAGCACGCGCCTGAGCTTGGCCCCAGGCTTCTGAAACGCGCTTCGAGTGGCCCTCGATTTGCCCCCTTTCGCTCTCACGCTTCGAGTCTGCAAATCTTTCGCTCGGAGAGCCTCTGCCGCCTTGGCCTCTGCGTTGGCCGCTTCCAGCCTAGCGGCGCAGAGTTTGTCTTGGAGCTCCTTTCTTTCCTACTCTGCTTTGGCTTTCGCGACCCTCCCCCCTTCTAGCCTCGCCGCCGCGACACCGGCGTCGGCGGACTTGGCGTCTACAGCTTGGCTGTGTTCCGCTAGGGCAGCACGTCGCTCAGAAGAAGATATCAGCGTCTCAGCACCGCGTTGTAAGCGCGCCAGGTCTTGGTCCTTTTGCGCGATAACGGCAGCTTGCTGCGAAATGTGCCGCTCGGCCTCGCTCGCTATCCCAACATATTTGTTATCGGCTTCTTCCGCGCGCTGCTGGGCAGCCGCGGCCTGAGAGGACATTTGGGCTAGCAATTCTTGCTCTCGCCGACTGGCAGCTTGGGCCATGGCGAGCCTATCGGCCTCGAACTTCTTCTAGGCGTCGGCAATAACTGCGTTCATCTTTTCGCGATCCAGCCGGGCCTGTTCGGCCCTCTGGGCCTCTATGGCCATAGTCTCTTGCTGTCTCTGGGCCTCTTGGGCCCTGGCTTGTTCCTGCACGGCCCGGATCAAAGGGCACAGTTATGTTCTTCCACCTGGACGCAGTCTTCACACAACCACTGATCGCCGCACACGGGGCACACGCTGGAACATTCCCCACGCGCTGGGCGCCTACAAGGCCCCCCCCGTTTTGCAGGGCTTTCCCCGGGCACTTGCTTTCCGCCGGGGGGCGGGCAGCCAGGGCCCTGATTCCAGCACGCCTCACGCATGGAAATGGCACTGGTGCTCCTCGAAGTTGATCGGGCGCCAGATCGTGGGATCTTGGGCCGCCCCCGGCTCGAAGCCGATGATCGAGGGCGCACGTGTACGCTCTCCGGTGGCATGGCCACCTCGCGGAGCGCCTCATCCCGTTCACCCTGCGCAATCAAGTCCGGGAGCGTAACAGGGGGTTCAGACGGGTCGTCATCCTCAGCTACCGCGGGGACCGACGGCTGCCAATCGCCTGGGGCGACGGCAGACCGATAGAAGTCCTACTGAAGCGGGGAAGCATTCAAATCGTAATCTTCGTTCCTGTGCTTCTTGGGATGAGGAGCTGGCGTTCGGCCCGTGGACTCCCCGTCATGCCCGGCACGATGATGGGAACTCGATGCAACCTCTGCCGCCTGGGGCGGAGTCTCAGCGATTGGGAGAACGGGGGTCGGTATTGGCGTCTCCCATGGCTCGGGCACCGCTGGGACCTCGCGGACTAAGTCGCTGGTCGTGGGGTCTTGACCTGGTTCCGCAAACGCCTCCCCAAGAGCTTCCAAATGATCGTAGTCGACGGTCTCCTGTCCTGGGGATGGCCCTCCGCCTTGGGCGGGGCAGTCGCTAGCGCTTAACAACGGCAAAACTCGGCTTGGGGGCATCTCATACGCGGCATATTCTATGTTATCCTCCATAGAGTTGACCTCGTCTCCGTCGTCAATCTGATCGTCGCTGTCTTGACCGGGCTGCCCGTTCAAGGCGATCGGAACGGGTTAAATCTCGGGCGGTCGATCCCAACCGTCTGGGACGGCGGGGACCATTCCGCTCGGCTCGCCCACGACTTGCGGCCGACTGGCGTGGCCAGCGGCCGACGAGATAGAGCGCACGGCTACCAGGCTGGAATGCACAGTCTCTGGGGACTCAGCAATCCAAGATGAGACGCCTCCTAACTGGCGTTCACGGCTGGGCCGTTCCGCCTCATCGGGGTCGGGGTCTGATCACGCTCGCTGATCGGAGCGCGAGTGGGAGAATCGTCGGCAGACAAATCTATGACCCCTCCGATAACTCCTCCCCGAGGAACCCGAGCGAGGTTAGAAGGGGGAAGAGAGCGGCCCTCCCCGGGGCCGCCGTCCTGATGATCTTGCCCGCCATGAAGTTCATGATGTAGACTCGCGGGCAATTCGGCTGTCTCAACATGGCTCAATCCCCTAGCGACTTGGTCGCGGGTTTCGGCTGATAACCCGTCTCTCCTCTGAGAATCGTGGTTAGATGCTACAGGAACTTTGGTCTCGTGATCTCCAACACTGATATCGTGGGCTACATGCTCAGCGAGAGAGGGGTTGGGATAAGCCATGACTAAGACAATGGGTAATCCGTATAGCAGATGGTAAGAAGCACGGGAAGGGAGGAGCAGCCGGCCGACGCCCCCCGTGCGGGCGCGCGGCAGCGCGCTCCTTTTCTGGCTTGATACCAAACAGCTGTTACTGCATCAATGTCTAGCAAGGCAGGCGGCAGGAGAGGCAACCAGAAGATGAGGCGGATAGGAGCAGATTTACTCTTGGCCTTTACCGTTACCACCCGCGTCATAGTAATCACGTCCTCGCCGACCCTTTCCGCCCAGCTTGCCACGTCCAAACTCAAGAGATCAAACCTTGCCTTTGCCTCCTTTGCCGAAGTTTCTGCGACACTGTCCGCAGCCACTCTTGTCGTTGCCTTGCTGTTTTCTTCGCGCCGCCGTCCATACTTGCCATAGGAAGTCAGTTTGTATGGAGGGTTGTCGGGAGGATCGTCGAGTAGGGTTGGCTCATCATCCGAATTTTCGTCTAGGTCTTCGTAATCCTCGTTTTGACTGTAACACCACGATTGGACCTCTTGCTCATCCCAGGATCCGCCCAAGCAATCCGATACCATGTAAGAAAGAGAGAGAGAGAGAGAGAGAGAGAGAGAGAATAATTACGCATTACAGTGTCAAGTTGAAGTAGCATGCTTGCTCATACTTGCCGTTGCGATCGGGGAAATACTCAAAATCACTGTAGACTTGGTCGTCGTCGCTGTTCTCGTATGTCAACACGATACCGTGCCAGTCACCATTTGCAAAAGGTTTCCTGACTTCTGCTTAACTGCATGAGTGGACTGCACACTTCGGTGAACTGGCTTCTGTCGTCGCCATCCTTCACCATCACGTCGTCGATGAAACTTGGAGCCAGTCCTGAATTCGTCAGTAAGAGGTGTGTCAATCCTGAATGTTGCGCATCCCATACAGAATGCTCATCCACGCCTCATATCGTAACTCGAACGCCAACAAGAAGTCCGCCGTTGAATGGAATCCGCGATGCGGAGCAAAGGATCGATCCAGATGACATGCTTGAAGATATTGACTGTCGTCGCCGCGTGCTGTCCGTAGATACGTCATTATCTGTTGAAGGCCTGATGGTGTGGCCTCTGTTCCAACTGCGAAGGCTGCTGCTTCAACTAGCGCCTTGACTGCCGCAAGCTAACATGCACGGCTATGCGATATGCTGACCCGTTCAATCGACCAACAACTAGATTTCTTGGCAATCCCCTGGACTGTCCGTAATCTTCATCCATGATCGCAGTATCACCTCGTAGGTAGCCAACGACTAGCTTCTCACATGAGGCTTCCATCCAAGAGGGCAGTGCTGCGTGTACTCATCCAGTGGCATGCCTCGTAGATCGGCCTGAGCAGCCATATCGGCTACTGTTCCTCGTGGGAAAGGGTGTCAACGACGCCCTGCTGGAAGCCGAACTGACCTTCGCGAGCGCCCGAGAAGGGCCACGCGGTGATGTACTGCGCGCCAAGAAATGCGAAGTGGATGTCGAAGCCGCTGGGCTCCTCGATCTCCAAAGCGTAAGAGATAGCGAAATCCACGCTGTGCATAGAAAAATCCCGCGAGGTATCGTAAGCAGTGTGCCACGTCGAAGGAGCGCTGGTCCGAGGACCGGCAGCTCCGCGACCGAAGTCCAATCTTCGGTTGGTCTGACCCGAGACGTCTGAAGATAAATATCACATCAGTCTGATTGCAACGTGCTGCCTGCTATGTACATGCTCAAGTCATGCCTGTACACTGAATGGGGGAAAGGGCCGAGAAGATGGAGGGGGCGAGCAGGGGGAAGGGGGGTCAAGCTAGGTGCGCTCACGTCATATCTGACGTCCTACCCCTCCCTCCCATCCCTTACCATGGCGTGAATCTGCTCTCTATTCGCAGTCGGATGTCGTTTCGGGGCCGATCTGGAAGGACCGAAGACCATGCCGAGGCATGGCACTGGAAATAATGACGCCAGTGCTGCAGCGGGAGCACCATTCGGGACGAGCGGAAGCGCGGAAATGATGCCAGCGCTGCAGCGGGAGCACGATTCGGAACGAGCGGAAGCGCGGAAATGATGCCAGCGCTGCAGCGGGAGCACGGTTCGGAACGAGCGGAAGTCCGAAAATGAGTGTATGTAAAAACAAAACGCGGAGGGATGCCGGAGATCTTCCGGACGTCATCAGGGGAGAGAGGAGAGCAGTTTTCATATTGTGCAATTGTGGAGGAGGAGGAGGAGGAGGAGGAGGAGGAGGGAGGAGGAGGAGGAGAAAGAGGAAGAGAAACAGGACGAGGCGGAGGAGAAGCTGCAGCAGCACCGTGAGGGAAGAAGGAGGAGGGTGGGGGAGAGGGGGAGGGGGGGCGAGGGAGGGAGGGGGGCGGAGGGGAGGGGGCGGAGAGGAGGGCCGTGGAGCGAGGAGGCGCAACGGCGGGGCGCGGGCGGGGCCTGCGGCGCGGGCAGGCCTTCCACCTCCCCGCCCGGAGGCCCTCCGTCGCGCAGCAGCCGGCGAGGTGCACCTTCCACGGTGTTGCCAGGGGCGTCCCTGGCCCAGGGTGCCCCCAGGCTTTCCGGGGAGGTCCAGGTGGTCCCCAGAGCATCCCTCGCCCGAAACGACTTCCAGGAGGAGGCTGCTCCGCCGTCGTCGAGACCGCGGCCAGCTCAAAACGAGGAGGCCCCGACGTGCCAACCACGCGCCGAAAAGAGCAGAAGCCACAACGGTAGCAGTCAGAAGATGTCCTGCGGGCGTAGCCGAAGAGTTGCGGACACCCTTAGGACAGGATCACTGCTAGCAGCACCCGAACCTTGGCGCTGCCTGTCGCAGCGAGCTCCGGCCCGGAGGCGCCCATTGAGGAACAAAACAGAGGGCACGAACACAAACGCTCGGAGCTCCGCGCAGACTTCTTGGATCGGCGCGGGGCCCACCTCGGCGACGCCCCCGGCGCCGCGCCGCAAGGAGCGGGGTCCAGTGCCCACCCAAGAGATCCGCGCGGAGCTCCGCAGACTTGCGTCGTGATGCCGCTCGTGCTGCCCCTCGAGTCCAGGAAGAGGCCGAGCGGGCAGAACGGCCGAGCGCCCTCCCCGCCTCACCTCGGGGGCCCCGTGCAAACGGAGGCTGCGACAGGCTGGGGCGGTGGCGCAGCCGGGCAGGCTGCCGCCGTGGGTCTGGACGTTCTCCGCTGCTCCTCCGTGCTTCCCCGCCGGATCTGGCACAAAGCCCGAAGGGGCCACGGAGGGGGGGGGCGGGAGGGAGGGGGGCGACACAGGGGGGGAGGAACCTCGACCTGGAATCGGCGATACATCGCCGGGGGCGGGAGGGGGGCGACACAGGGGGGAGGAACATCGACCTGGGATCGGCGATACATCGCCGATAGATCGGCGATAGGGCCCCGGTAGCAAATCCGCACGGTCCTGGGGGGGTGCTATGGGGCCCCATATGATGAATGGGCCATTGGGGGTGGGTCGATGCAATTTTCCCCTGAGCACATCCCCCGCCCGTTGACACCAGGGTAAGATAGGCTCAGGGGGGAACACCATGGCAATCCAGGGCCAAATGGCTTTGAATCTGGCAACTTGCAGAGCCCTGGCTTTTCCGGGCCACCAGTCACCAGCACTCTCGCCACGGCCCCGGACAGCGCGTCGGGAGCCAGGCACGCCTCGGCTACACGCAAGGGTGACCCTGGGCAAGAGTGACCTTTGCAGCGCGGCTTTTTGGAGGCCGCGGGGGGGGGCCGAACACGAGCACGCAAGACGCCACTGCCGCCTCGCGTTCAGCGATCGGGGGACCCCGTTGGGCCCGCACCACAGGTCACTCCGGCGAAAGCTCACCCTTACGTCTAGTCGAAGGCCTGGGAGAGGTGCAGCAGCTCACCGGCCTCTCCGCGGCACCAGCTGAGCGGCCCCAGGCAGCGAGTGGCCTCTGGCGCGCAGCCTTCGGGGCGGCAGGGGCTGTCGTCAGGTCGTCGTCGTCGTCGTCGTCGTCGTCGTCGTCGTCGTCGTCGTCGTCGTCGTCGTCGTCGTCGTCGTCGTCGTCGTCGTCGTCGTCGTCGTCGTCGTCGTCGTCGTCGTCGTCGTCGTCGTCGTCGTCGTCGTCGTCGTCGTCGTCGTCGTCGTCGTCGTCGTCGTCGTCGTCGTCGTCGTCGTCGTCGTCGTCGTCGTCGTCGTCGTCGTCGTCGTCGTCGTCGTCGTCGTCCAACGTCGTTTCATACCCGCCGACCCTTCTCGACCACCCTCAGATCCGAACGCGCAGGCCGCTGCCGCCGCATCGAAGTCGGCGATCGTTCGGGGGCCCCCAGGTGGTCAGAGCAGGGCGAGTCGAGACCACGGCAGCCCCCTGTCGGTCCCTGGACCCCTCCCCAGAGTCCGAACGCACCAGGTGTCCGAGCTGCGTCCAGCCCTGGCGACCAAGGGCATCCCGAAGGCCAACTGCCGCTGCCTCGACCTCGCCAACCTCCGAGGCGGGCCCGCGCCAAGGGCCACTCTGGCGCAAGGCCACCATCGCGCGCAGCCGATCCGTGGAGAAGGGTTCGGGGCGGCGCACGAGAGCAGACCCTGCAGACCTGGACCCCCCCGCGTCGTGGTTTTCTCGTCACGCGAACCCCTAAAGTTATTGGACCCCTTCCCCGGGGCCAGTCTTACCCCGAGCCATTTCTTGACGGCCCCGAGGCCCGTTGAGGGCCACCGGAGGCCGAAACTGGCGAGCAACCTCCCGTCATGATTGTTTCACGACGAGAGGGGGCTGCGAACTGCGCAACAGTCGGCACTTTCGTGGGCTCCTGGAAGGCTCGACGGAGTGTTGGGCAGCGCAGATCGTGCATATCTCGCGATGTGCTCTTGTGTATAGAACATTCATACAAATAGTCGCCTCGCGTGGAGAAGGGGTTGGGCACGTCTCGGGTGTGTACTTCCCGACGCGAGGGGGTCTGGGACCGGTGCTCCATCCCGATTCCCGAGGCTCGTTAAGGGCCACCGATAACCCTAGGCCTGGATGTTACAGGACAGCTCTAGAGTTTGAACATCGTTTTGATAGCCCAAATGCTTCCTGCAAACACAGCTCGAACCCAACTGGCGGCCGCGCAGGCGCTTCCGAAAAGGCAGGGAGCGGCGGTGACTCGCCACAGGCGTCGTTCATTTCCAATCGTGCTCATTTTTCTAATTGTGCTCGTTTCTGATTGTTTCTGGCCCCCTAGTGGCCACGAAGAGGCCCAGGATGGAACAATTAGAAATGAAAGGATCGTGGCTCCCAAGAAAATCAAGGAACTTTTAAAGAATTAGAAATGACCAGTATATGAAAGGGGCCCAGGGACACACAAATAAATACACACAAATAACCGGATTCCCTGGGGACAATAAAGGTCCCCGGAGAGGCCAGGCCTTTTCTAGCGTCTACTCCTTCCTCCTCCTCCTCCTCCTCCTCCTCCTCCTCCTCCTCCTCCTCCTCCTCCTCCTCCTCCTCCTCCATCCTCCTCCTCCTCTCCTCCTCCTCCTCCTCCTCCTCCTCCTCCTCCTCTCCTCCTCCTCCTCCTCCTACTCACCCCCTCTACTCCTCCTCCTCCCCTCCTCTCCGCCTCCTTCCTTCCTTCCGTCCTTCTTCCCTCCCTCCCTCCCTCCCCTCCCTCCCAGCCCTCCCTCCCTCCCGCGTCACGGCCCCCTAGGCTCCCTCGGGGAGGGACCGGCACCCCCGTAGGGGACCTAGGGGGCAGGCCGGAACGAAGCGGTCCGCCTGCTAGGCCACGGTGGGCCTGCAAGACGCTGGAATTCCGGCCAGGAAGAGGCAGAGGCAAGGAGGCAGAGGCGCTGGACACCCGGCCTCCCTCCCTCCGCTCCCCGTCCCTCCCTCCGCCCTCCCTCCCTCCCTCCCCCTCCTCCTCCTACCTCTCCTCCTCCTCCTCCTCCTCCGCCTCCTCCTCCTCCTTTCCCTCCTCCTCCGCTCCTCCTCTCCTCCTCCTCTCCTCCTCCTCCTCCTCCTCCTCCTCCTCCTCCTCGCTGCTCGACGAGACGGCAGCGACCTGTGGCATCGCCTTCGCGACCTTGCTGATGGACGTAGAGAAGTTCTACGACTCGGTCTGCTACGCGCTCCTCTTCGACGCCGCCATCGGGGTGAATTTCCCCCCGATCGTCGTGGCGCTGGAGATGCAGCTCTACCTGGCGCCCAGGTACTTGCGCATGCACGGCTGGGTCAGCGACATCATAGATGCCGAGAGGTCCATTGTCGCGGGCAGCTGCAATGGCGGCAAGCTCGCCAAAGTCTACCTGGGGCCGATCCTGCAGAGGGCCCACATTAACCACACCTACGCGGGCCTGTGGACGTTCGTGGACGACACGGTCGCGAGAACAGAGGGCCAAACCAAACAGGTCGTCAAGGATCTGATCGGCGTCGGCGCCGACCTTTGCGCCGGTATGACGGGCGCGGGGCTTCGAGTCTCGCCCAAGACCACCGTCGTCGCCTCCAACCAGACGATCGCCTACGCAGTGCACGACGGCCTCACGCAGAAGGGCTACTACGTCAAGGTGGCCAACAGCGCGGTCGACCTCGGCATCGACGTGGGCGGCGCCAAGAGACGGGTCGTGGCCAAGGCCACCAAGAGGGCCAAGACTGCGAGGAGGCGCACTCACCGCATCGTCGCCAAGGTCAGGAAGCACGCCTCCCTCGCCAAGATCGCGAAGGGCTTGTGGAACGCGGGCTCCAGGCCGCAGGGGACCTACGGCCACCAGATCATGGGCCTCGCCCCAGCGGCCATCCTCGACCAGAGGCGCCAGGCCATCCAGGCCTCTGCGGGGAAGGTCCCTGGCCGCTGTCTCTCCACAGCCTTGGCCGTCGTCATGAGGAAGAAGGACCCCGCCATCGAGCTCAGGCGCCAGTCGATCGCCGAGTGGCTCAACTTCTGGATGCAGTACCCAGAACACCACATGCGGGTCACGCAGGCGTGGAAGCTGATCTACAACAAGTCGATCACGCGCGGCAACAAGAAGTGGAGGAAGGCCATGGGCCCCATCTCCGCCATCCAGGCCATCCTC